CGTGCTGCCTTCAGAGCTTCTTCCGCTTGCTGCTTCCGGAGCTTCTCTTTCCACGCTGCCGACGGTAGCACGTCGGTCTTCGCCCCTGACCCCTTACCCATGAAGAAGAAGCTAGCTGTCGCCGTGGGCTTCTCCTTGTGCTCTGGTTTGGCCAGCTCTTTTGCCGGCTCTGTCGGCGCTGCCTTCTGCTGGCTCAGCTGCCTTGCCCGTAGCCTTGGCTGATTCTTGCTCGAAGAACGATTTCAGCCCAGAGATCGGACCCGAATGCGCCGATTTGAGGTGATTCCGTGCGTTGCCGCCAATGATCGGCCGGTTGGATCGGACCTGCGAGTCAGCATGAGGCACTGGCGCCTTGTTCCATTTGCTGGCTGTGCTCCGCGCCTTCAGCATCGCCCGTAGCCGCTGGGCACGCTCATATTCTGTTGGCGCCGAGTAAAGCCGCACCGTAGTAGATCGGGCCAAGTGCAGCTGCGTCAGCGTCCTGCTCCCTTTGACTTTTCCTGAAAGCGCGTACATTTAGAACACAGGTGTAGAATAGGAAAGGAAAGAAAGGGAAAAATAAGAGTTCGAATTGAGAGCCAGCGGAAGAACAGTGCTGATAAAGGCCCAACCCATCAGCAAAAAAAAGTCACCGGCGGTGATTCGGTAAGCAATGAAAAACGGACCGAGCCACGGATAATCAAGCTGCCTTGGCCCAGGAATCACCATCGGATTGCGCATACACGCCTTCGCGGTCTCAAATGCCAATGTCACCGCCTCTGGGAAGTTGTTTTTTCAAAGCAATTTTATTATTACATACAAGGTGACAAAATGCGCTTCGGTAGTATTTACTTGGAGGCGGCGACGAACTTGGTGGTGGCCTTTGGTGCCCTCGGACACGGGCGTGGCGCGAACAGCTCTCCGGGCAGCAGCAGACGGACGGCAGTCTGGATTTCGCGCGAGGTGATGGTCGACTTCTTGTTGTAGGCAGCCAGCTTCGAGGCCTCCGAGGCCAATGCGCTCGAAGATGTCGTTGACAAACGAGTTCATGATCGACATGGCCTTGTTCGAGATACCGGTGTCGGGGTGCACCTGCTTGAGCACCTTGTAGATGTAGGTCGAGTAGGTCTCCTTGCGGACAACCTTGCGCGACTTCTTCTCGCCAACAGACTTGACGGGGGCCTTACCGCCGGTAGCGGGCTTGTCCGGAAACCTTGGGAGCCATTTTGTCTTTTTGTTCGTGTGGTGGTGGGTGTAGCGAGTGTGTTAAAGTAACGTGGAGTTAGAAAAAGAAAAGCACTGCCCGGAGCGAGGCGCGGTGCTGGCCGTGCTTTTTATAAGAATTTCGCCGAGCCCATGCCCCATGCGAGACAAATCCACCACGAGGCGCGTCTCGATTGGGGCCTGATGATTGGCCCGGCTGATCCCAGCCCTCTGACCCGTGATTTTGTTGCGCCCAGATCGAGGCGCCATGCCCGGCGCCATGCCCGGCGCTGTCGGGACGGGTGCAGCGAGGGCTTCTGCCGGAGCAGTGCGCGTGTGGACGCGTGTGGCAATGCGCAGCGGGGCAATTTGCAGCAGGGCACTGCTCCGGCAGCACGCACAGCTGCAGCCAGAGGACCCAGCGCAGCCATGCTGCTTTTCTGCTGCTTTTTGCTGCCTTCTGCCTTCTGCTGCCTTCTGCTGCCTTTTGCTGCTAGTGTGCTGGCGTGCCGAACTTGGCTTCTCCGATCGCCAGCGCCCTGACAAAAAAGAAAAAAAGAGCGCAGAAAATGGGCCGCGTGCATGATTGGCTGGAATCGAGGCACAGTCCACGGGCCCGATTTTGGCAGAATCGAATTTCCTGGGCAGGCGGCGCCAGTGGTTATAAAAGGCCCGCATGCCACACAGCCCACCGACTGCCAGGCTAGTCTCGCTCTACACATAACTTTCTCTCTCTCGCTCTTGCTCCACCACAGCAAAGACCCAACCCGTCGCTTTTAAACGCACACGCACCCACGCACCCAAAACAAAGACCCAAATCAAAAATGGCTGGAGGCAAGTCTGGAGGCAAGGCCGGTATCTCGTCGTCTGCTGGACCCAAGTCGCGCTCGTCCAAGGCTGGAATTCAGTTCCCCGTCGGCCGTATCCACCGCCACCTGCGCAAGGGCAACTACGCCCAGCGCATTGCGGCTGGTGCCCCCGTGTACCTGGCTGCCGTGCTCGAGTACCTGACTGCCCGAGATCCTCGAGCTGGCCGGTAACGCCGCCCGCGACAACAAGAAGACCCGCATCATCCCCGCCACCTGCAGCTGGCGATCCGTAACGACGAGGAGCTGAACAAGCTGCTCGGCAACGTGACCATCGCCCAGGGTGGTGTCCTGCCCAACATCCACAATACTCTGCTCCCCCAGAAGAGCAAGAAGGCCGGCGCTGCTTCGCAGGAGCTCTAAGCTACCAACAAAAAAATTGGCCTGACAACTACTCGTCCACAGATAGCGCGATGTTTAATTTTTTAAAGGCATGCCTGAATTATGTACAATATACATCCTTTGAGAAACCCCCTCAGCAGAATGCAAGTGATCACTTTCCTGTGTTTTTAGGTGACATCAGAGCCAGACCTCGGCTTGACAATTCCTTTTGATCTCCACTCTTTTCCAGTTTTTCTACTCTTGTGCTGTTAATTTATATTTTGCATTTTGCATCGCTGCCATTTTTCCTTGAAAATGAGCGACACGCCGAATAACCAGACAAACTTGTTCAACAGAATGAGAGACCAGGGCGTGTTCAGGACACCATACCCGCAGCACCTTGCGCAGCCAAATACAACACCCAGCTTTCGACAGCCAACAGCAAGAACTGGGGGTATACCGATGTATGCCCCGAGCCTTGGTGGTATGAGCCCACGACCGCCGGTGTTCAGTCCGTACCCCCGCCGCTTTCAGCCTATGGAGTACCCAACCTCTCTACGGCCACTCAGATTATACAATGCGCAGACCCCAGTCCCACACATGCAAATGCCAAGGAGTCTGCGGCCAATACTCCCGATGAGCCCGAGAATAGCACTTCCTGGTGCGTCCACAGTAATAGAACTGCGTGAGTGGTTCGTGTTCATTGATGTATACAAGCACACGGTTTTGGTCGGCGGTCTGACAACAAAGGAAACTGGCGAGACCATGATCCGGTATTCATCAGATATCAGAAAAGTTTTCAGCGCCCAGCGCGTTCTGTCGTCAAAAGGGAGAGAGTATAGTCTAGCTGGGCCGATTAGTGTCGAAGGCGCGAGAAGGCGCGGTCTCCCGGACGAGATCATCCAGGAATTTGCCGATGGGTTTCCAGTAAACTGGAGAATTGTGGTTAGTGATTACATTCGGGTGCTGCTAGCGTCAGAACAAGGATACTACGGCTATGATGCGCCAATTGACGCTCGATCTCCCAGTAATGGGGCCGCGCGACAGTTCTTTATGGCTGACCAGCCGCTGTCGCCATCCTCTGGTTCGCTTTCGTCAGAGTTCAGAAGATTGAATACGGAAAAGCCCACAGCACCGATAAGGAGGGCTGCAGCGTTACTAGACACCAACTGTTCGTCTCGGGCCAGCAGTGTTGTCAGCAACATGCATCACCAGAATGCCGATGTGGAAGAGCAGTCACTGATGAGGACCAACGACGGGGAGGAGGCGGACACAGAGGGCAGTGATGATGACCGTGATGGCGGTGGTGTTGGCAGTGGTAGTACAATGGTGGCCAGCCCTGAGCCTGGTGTTCAAAGGGCGTCGACTCTGGTCCCACCCGATCCACTGAAACTGGGCGCCAATTCAGATCCAGATGCTGAACCAGATGCTGAACGTGGCGCAAAGGACGCCTCTGACGACGAGAATAACTTCTGGATATCTATAAATCCGCAGCAAGCCCCTGCAGCAAACAGTGACAGCGATGCAGAAGACAACCATGGACATTCCAGCGACGATTTTGTCAAGACACCCCCTAGAAGGCAGCAAGCAACCGCAGCCTTGCACCTTTCACAGACCAAGGCGGCTCGGCTCACTGAGATTGGGGGCGGCTCCGCGCGTGAAGAACCGCATATTCGCTCACCAACCACTAGATCCAAAACAAAGACGCCAGTGCGGAGCTCTGCTCAGAGGAGATCCAGACGCACACAATCCACAAGCAAGCCAGCTACGCCTAGGACCAAAAATCAGGGGCTAGCTGAAGAAATGGTTACTCCTCAGAAAAAGCGCTCTACCAAATCACCGTCTGGACCACGATCGGCGGATTCCTCGGTCACTCGTTCGGGCAGAAGGGTACGCAAGCCTCAGGAATGGTGGGCTAACGCACAAGACCATTTGCATGACGATGCAGATGATAATACGCATGAGATCAAATACAAATGGGGTACCGGAGTTCCCATGATAGTCAAGAAAGGAAAGCGGATTCGGCTCAGTGACTATTTTTTGAATCAGCAGGAAGATGACAGGGCTTCTTCAGATTAGGCATGTAAATACTGATTATTCATACTCTAGATTTTAAATCATTTGACAGTATGACCAGCTCGTAGATGGCTCAGATCTCGCAATTCATTCCCGTATTTAGCTGCACATGTTACTGCTATGCTATCTTTTGTGTACAGCTATCGACACCATCCTTTATTTGTATCGTCGAGCATATCTCTTTTATTAAATAAGGTTTTGTAGTCCAAATAGTCCTTGATAGTCTGCTAAAATAGTTTCAGTTGGCTGAGAGGATCCAGGCTCTTTTGAGCCTCACAATGGTGAACCAATGCAAAAACGACCATGCTGAGCAGGCTATCAAGACAAGAGATGTCCAAGATCACCATTTCACCAAAAATTATCCCACACCTTCAAATGATCGGTTTGCCGTGATGCTTCATCGACGGGTCAAGCCATGCTGACTAGCAGCCGAGCTCACATTGCGAGCAAAGTGGTTCTAGTATTAGCAAAAATATATTGTACGTCATATATCCTATTTTCGGGTAGCCTCAATAGGGACCTCCTGTATGTTAAATTGCGTGCATCCAAAAATAGCCCCATGTTGTCCTCAACCTTCTTTCTTACATTAGTGGTATCCTGCAATTCGATCCAGAAAAGAAGATTTACATCCTTTGCATCCCTGGTCTCCCAATGTTCTAAAAATACCCTAGCCTGAGATGAGGGTTATTGCTGCATTTACATGCCCATTCATTCCGCAGGCCTGTATGAGGTGATGCACGCGGATGGTCGGTTAGTTTTTAGGTCCTGTCAGCCTAAATGGTTCCTTTGCAGATGCTCAACCGTGGGAAACTGGTTCAAGCGGATTGCCGCTTTCCAGGCTTTTCATATAAAACCCCCATGGATCTCCTCAATCTTAGCATTTTCCAAACCAACCAACTAACAATCCACAATCTTGCATTCATCCTCATCATCACATCCTGGTCGTGCAAAAATCATCAAGCAAAACTCATCAATCCAACTCATCCAATCATGAAAACTACCATCATCTCCGATCACTTCTCTCCTGGCCTGGCCTCTAGCGTTGCTGCCCATGCCTCGCTCAAGTATCCAGTGCCCTCGCTACTCACCTTTTGGCGAGAACTGCCCTGCTGTTCCTGCTGGCCAGTCTCTCGACTAGTGGCATCAACGCACCTATTCAGCTCGATGACGCTGGGTCAGAAGAACCCATTTTGCAAGTACACGACTCCATTTGCAACGCCCTCAGCCACCTGGACAGCTGGTGAGATCAGTGACATGTCAAAGTTCCATGACAACATTGCTGCCCACTCAGGCGGCCACGGCCAGTTCTCGATTTCCTTACGACAATGGTAAGACAGTTTCGCTGTCAATCCATGAGGTTCTAGCGCTACATGTTTGTCGGGTCCAAGCCTGCATCAGCTGACAAACACTGCATCCTGTCATGAGCTACACCTTCAAGCTGCCTGAGGATCTTCCGAGCTCTGATAAGGCTGTGTTTGCCTGGACCTGGGCCAATGCGATCAGGAAACCGCGAATTCTATATGAACTTGTGCCGATATTGCAATCAAGGGCGGAAACTCCAAGTCGATACACTGGAAAGAAGATGACTGTAGTTAACTATCCTGGATACCCAGCTATGGCCGAGTTCAACGGAAACTATGACACAGGAATTGAACTTTACAATAACGCCCCGAAGGTCACCATCTCTCCAGGTGGCTCGAAGCTCTGCTCCCTAGCGATACAAGAAATGACAAGCCGCCCTAAGGGTGACCTTAAGCCGCCTAAGGACGAACCCATTCCGCATGCCCCCGAAGAGCTCTGCGCCTGCCGCTGCCCTGCTCCTACTGGTTCTTCGGGATCTGGATCGTGCACCCACGGTGCCATGGCATGCGATTCTGGAAACTCGGGCTACAAGGTCTGTGTGTACGGCAACTGGGAACCCACCAATTCCGTGCCCTGCTGGAACCAAGTGCAAGAGCTCGGGTGGCAGCGCTATCTGCGACTGGGTCTAAGGAACAAGTTCAAATCATTGTAGACAACAATGTGCAGAAATAAAGCAAATTGACACGGAATTGATATTTCATGTCAGGTATCAGTAGTCTCTTCAGCAAAACGGTTCGCTTGTAGTATATTGCACTGGTGATCAATAGTTTAGCATTGCCTGAATTTATGGTCAGCAATCAAGCAGACTCTGCCACATGTTATACTCGATGTCTCACCAATATGTAGCTTTTTGAAAGGGAGTTTCAATTAAGAGTCGACCGATTGTTCATTAATATTATCAATGGCTGATTGTAGTCAGAAATCAGCTGTTATGCTCGAATCCAATGAGCATGAACATGATGACTCGGCTCCAACTCCCACGATATCCCCTGACCCGGCTCCCACGGATCCAAGCCCGCACGTGGTACAACAATGCAGCACCTTTATGCCGCAAGGACCAGTGACCGGTATTCCCGTCGTTCATGCAACGCAACATCACTAGCAAGACACTAGTGCACCGAAGCATATATATGCTTCGACTCGACAAGACTCCAAGACAATTCATCATCCAGTGTCTACTAGAGTTCCCTACTCGTATATTCTGTTTCAACCTGTTTCCCTCCTGTTTTTGAGTTTGAATACTATTTATTCGAACTTGAAACAGGGTTAAAAACGGGTTGAAACAGAATATACGAGTAGGGAACTCTAGTAGAATTTATGATTCTCTGAGTTTCTCCAATTTTTCTTTCCTCATCGGATCCATATGTCATCACAACCATGGCTCCGATCCTCCTTTGGGATCTCCCTCTTCTCCACTCTCGATTTCTTTCTTATAACTACTTTCTCTTCTTATTCATAGTTCTTTTTTTCTCTGGCTGCTTACAGCCCACTCCTTATTCAATACAACAATTGTCTGGCTGACTCAGCCCAAATCACTTGCTGAAACTCGTGACCTTCCAACAAACTCTAGTAGACACTGGATGATGAATTGTCTTAGGTTCTTATCGAATTGAAGCATATATATGCTTCGATGCACTAGTGTCTTGCTAGTGACGTTGCATTGCATGAACGACGGGAATACCGGTCAC